CAAATGGGCAATATAAGTCCAAATTTAGAAGATACAAAAGCTTCGGCATATTTATTTCTTTGAATTTTAAATTATAATTATAATCATAGGGTGTATGATTGAATTCTCCCATAAAAACTTTTAATTGTTATGTGGAGCTCAACTAAATTAGCAAAGTGGTTTAGGGTATCATAAAATCGGTCCCGCCCGATTTTAGGACTTTCTTTACTGGTTTAGAGGGGAAAGTTGAACAATTTATCCCATATACACGCAAAATATGTCTGAAGTTCAAATAAAACGGTTCGGATAAAATTATGATTTTTAAAATGTCCTATTTATAGGAGGAGGGGAGATATGAAAACGATTAAGTCTACATAATCTTTTAAAATTATAATTTGAATAATGCTCCTCCTTTATCACAATAATGGCTAATCGGCCGGTCGAAAGCAAATCATTTTTGGTTATTTTTATTATCCAATCAATTGGTATTGCAATTCATCTGCCGTTAAGCTTACTTCGCCTTGGAACCAAAACAGACAGTTGTTTCATTTTTTCAATTTTAATTTTAATACAATTTAAAACACACATATTTAAAACTTAAACGAATTGTGTTTGAAATAAAAATTACTACGAATATTCAATTAAAACTTTATTCCCATGAACAGAACAGAACCGGTTAAATTTAAAATTGGTGGTCAGTTTAATTAAATGTGTTCTGCTTCATGTGTGTTTGTTGCAAACGCTCTCCTTCATCAGCAGCCAACAATGCTGTCACCTCGGCTATACTATTGATCAATATTCAAATTGTTTTATAACAATCAGTTTGTCGAATGATATAAATACAGACAAACCGACATACCAACTTAAATGGGAATGTATGTATTTTGTAGAAAAAAATGTGTCCATTTTAGTGGCAAGCTGCCGCATATTCTGCATTCATTACAAGTAGAACTAAAAAAAGTGAAACAAACATACAAATAGTATATGGACAAACATAGGTACACTCTGCAACAAATATTGGTGGACAAGTGGCCAGCCAGACCAATGATCCGAGCCAACCAGCCAGCCAGCCAACCACCCAACCGAATGACGACCACACACATGGCGATGATGTTGTTGACTTGGCTTGCCTCCGAACTTTGAGTAGTTAAGCTACTCAGTTAGTCTGGGCCATTGGGTAAATTGGGTCAGTTTTTTAACTCTATTTAAATGTATGGAAGGCAAACAACGCCAGCAGCAGCAGCAAAAACAACAACAACCACGCTACTTATATTGTCAATTAAATAATATCGACGAATGAAATGTTATTAAACAAAAGTGGCAAAAAGAACAATTACCCTAGCCAACTAGCCATCGTTATGCCACCAGTGAGTTGTATCCGGAGAGTGTGTGTGTAGGAAAATAAGAACCCAGTGTCCACTTAAGTGATTAAATAGAAGATAGCTGGCAAAGTAATTAGCTACGTTTTAAGTGGATTAGTGGAAAATTCATTTAGAAATGAGTGTGCAGAGTGCGGTTGTTAGATAGTGGCATTTGGTGGGATATGAATATCAAAATTTTTCCCACCTTGGCTAATCAGCTTGGATCGATGGAAATGAAGAAAAGGGGATTTTGTATGTTGTTATGGAATATATGGGCAAATTCGTTTAAATGTATAGTATCGAAGGAATTGATTGAGGGTCTAGATTGACGAAACGGAAAATTGGCAATGCGAAAAATTGCAACTAGTGATAGGCATATTATTATATAGAGGTCAAAAATTACTGCTTTGCTTTCTTATTTTTGACCTCTATATAAGAGTATGCCTATCCCCCTAGTTTCCTAAAAAAATTATTGGTTAATAAAATTTTACTCCGAATTTTTTACTGTAGAATTTTCGGTATTGAAAGTGGGGCATATAATTTCTTAGTTTGATATAGACCCCATATGACCGTAGCCGCCAGATTAAAGGTGTTTTGGGTTTTTATACACACGAGCACGGTGTTTGGGGTATTATAAGTTTGATTGGGCCACAAATTATGCAACACCTTGCAAATAGGATTTTATATATTGATCTTCCAATCCAGCCGAGCTGAGTCCGTCGGTCGCACTATTCATGTTTACGTTTAACGCTACAGGTCGCAATTATGGCCCGATCCTCACAAAATTTATCATGGAGGTGATGTTTAGTTTAGAATAGAAGCTTATTGTTGGGGAAGATGATCGCAAAATATTCATATTTAAAATGAGCCTAGGACAGAAAACATCTTTATCTTTTCTAATTCCTCTTCAATTCTAGACCAATAGATTTTTGCATGGGGAAGGAGTTTGGCGCTGGGCAGAAGCCTATCAATTTGGATAGTCATAGAATAATATTTAGCGGGTGAAATAGACTATAACTTTTATGTAAAAATACACAAATTTCCATTAAACTGCGAATAATACAAGCAAAATAATAAAAAAAAAGAAAAGGTCACTTCTGACCGTGAAATTGATGCTGATATACAAGATATGGCAGATATAGCAAAATATAAAAGGTAAGATGTAAAAACTGCAACCAACTTCAGACTGCTCTCATTTCTAAGCCACTCTTCCGACAGCTGTTAAAATCATTCCAGTGATAGTTTACAAGCGTACAAAAGCATCTTGGTGAGAACTTTCCAGAAAAAAGTTATTCGTGATGGAATTCAAGCGTGACAATGTGATTTCTTTATATTTGGCTAGAAAAACACAAAAGGCTATCGTTACAGCATTCCAGTATGTGAATAAATCTGTTGTGTTTCTTACCATCGGTTGTTACCGTGATACTGGTAGCGTAGCCCGACGTCATAGGAGTGGATAGAAGAAAACAGCAGCATCAGCAGAAATGGTTCGAAAAGTAAAGAAGCGGCTTGATCGAACCCGCGTCGCAGTGGCAAAAAAATGACTCGTGAGCTGAACATATCACAATATTCCATTCGGCAAATATTGAAAAATGAGCTCGGGGTAAAGCTATTGAAATTCCAAAAAGTGCAAGAACTTATACCGCAACAGAAAAAAATAGACTCAAAAGAACTAAAGATTTGCTTCGCTTGGCCGAAAGTGGTTAACTGCCGAATTTGGTTTTCTCCGATGAGAAAACATTCGTTGTCCAGCAGTTTGTAAAGAAACAAAATTATCGTGTTTACTTGCCAAAGAGGTCAGCTGAAAATGTGCACCTTCGATTGGCCACCACAACTCACGTGCCGGCCATGGTGATGGTGTGGGCTGCCATAAAAGCATGGTCGCTCTCAGCTCGTATTAATCGAATTAATGAGAATAAATGCCGAATATTATCGCGAAAATATTCTGGAGGGTGTATTAATGGGCACGCAAACATTTTGGCCGCAGACATTCCAACAGGACTCAGCACCATCGCACTCAGCACGCGCCACCCAAGAATGATTGCGCTTCATTCATGATTGCGCTTCATTTCCAGCGGAAAATGGCCACCAAAATCTCCGGATACCAATCCGTTGTACTATTGTGTCTGGAGTATTTTGGAAAGCAAGGTGGACACTTAAAAATACCAAAGTAACGATCGCCTCAAGCAAGCGTTTCGCCGGGAATGGGCCAAAATACCGCAGAGCAACATTCGGGCAGCATGAGAGGGTTTCATCTCCGTTTGAAGGCCATAATTCGTGCCAAAGGTGACCAATTCGAACGAATCTAAACTTATTCTAAAATTTGGCGCTATATCCGACACTTTTTGCTTTCATTCAATGACATTTAAAAAAAATTAAAAATTATGGCGTTTGACTTTTTTACAGTTTTTTTATCTTACCCTGCATATAAACGCTTGTATCAATAGAGAGAGAGAGAGAGAGAGAGAGAGAGAGAGAGAGAGAGAGACAGTTAGACCGATTATAAATCAAGAACGGCTGGACAGATTTTGACAATTCGCATCAATTCAGGACGGTTTTTTGACTGAGTACTCAATTTAATTAAAAATCGTTTGAAACACATGCTGAACCAACCGGGTGAGTTTTTCGGTATTTTTTTCAATGAACCTTCTGGCCAACAAATTCTGAAGTTTTAATAAATCTTTGATGAAAGTACTGACAAAAAATTGTGATTTTTCACCCTCCCTCTTATAATGCAGGGTATACAACATATGGCCTCTAATATATACCCATATAACGTTACCTCCAGATTCTCAGTATTTTGAAAGATTCTGCCACAATTTCCAACCAAATTACTTAAAACTTGACAATTGGGGTTCTAGGTAGGTATGTTTCCCCCTTGCGAAATTGGTATAGTTCCCACATAACGATACCTTCCGATTTTCGGTATTTCGAAGGTTTCTGCCACAATTTCCAACCAAATTAGATACAACTTGACGATTGGGGTTCTTAAAAGGTATTTTCTCTCTTTGCGAAAGATGTTCAATTAAGGTCTCTTAATTGGTATAGGCTCTATATAAAGGTACCTTTGATAAACATAGGAAGGTATACAAATTCCAAATGGTGAAGAGTATTAAAGACTCATCCTGGCTTAGGTGTTTTTTACTTGTTTTAGATAATTTTTAAGAATTTTTAAAGAAAAATGGAAAATGTTTTTAAGGAATTCTAAAGAGTTCAAGATTTTTTTTGTAGGACCGTCTGGTAAATATCCTGCCTTCAGGTGATTTTTAAAAGATAATGCCTTGTTTATAACAATTTTGAATTTTTAAGAGATTTTTCGTTTAACTCTTCTTTACAAATAATCATGAATTTTGAAAAAGATAACTTTCTGAACATTTTTGGACTATTTTCGGCTTTTTAAGAATATTTATATATTATGGGGCTTAAAATGGCTATTCCAAGTAATTTCAACGAAAAGACATATTAAATATGACCGTGCAATTTTCTTGTCCTTTAAATATTTCCGCAAAATTATTGCAAAATTTGCCTGCTACACTAATTTCATGATCAAGAGGGCAAAATATATATCAAACGAAATGTATATATGTAACGAAATAGTATACCCTACATTTTGAAATTATTTTGTGTTTTTCAATTTTTGACAGAAGATATTGTTTCATATTTTTTTGTGCTTTCTGCTTCATTTCATATGAAATTCATTTATTTCCTAAAGAGTTTTGCATAAAAATTGTGTGTATTATTGAAATTGAAACAAATTGATGTCTATATATTACGTGTAACAATTGATTGTGGTCATTTTGGCAATCATTTGAAAGAAACCAAAAAAGATGTTTAATTTTTTCAAAGAAAAAGAAAAAACTCAAATTGGGAAAAATGTAGAAAGTTCTGTAAGTAGTGCATGGGATCTGATACATTCGGCAAATGGTAAATTTAGAAGGTGAGTTTTGAGAATTACTTTTGGTCACACGAGTCTCTAGCAAATCGTTGGTTTAAATTAAATAGAATTATTGACTAGCGGAATGTATTTTTCGTAAACATATTCCACGCGCATACGTCCATGTTTTGATTTCTTAAAAATATTTTTATTATTTGCAGTTTTGTGCTAAATTATGACTGGCTGGTCTATACCATTTTGGGAGTTCTCTTGGCAAGTTGTGTAATTTATTATTTCTATGATCACAAGCGTATCAGTGAAACAAGAAGAAGACGCCAGGAACTGCAATTGGCAAGTCAAAGGTAGCTATAAAAACCAATCAAGCAATTCTAAAAAAAAAATTCATCATCTATTCTTGTGCTTTTATAGAAATTCTCAACAACGACGTCCAGGTGCTAGTTTTCGGGACCACGAAATATTTCAAAATGCAATGCAAACCACCCGTAATATAGTTGATCGGGAATGTCGAGCCAGGAATAATACTCCATCGAATTCATATGTCTTGAGACACACACGAAGTGGCCGAATATATGGTGATTATTATGAGGCGGAGTAAAAAATAGATGAGCAAATAAATCGGGTGTCTGACACAATTTCAAATCGTATGTTTCAAGTGAAGTAAGGCTATATTATATTCACGAAACTAAATTCAGATGGAAAATAAATATTGCAGTGAAATGATAAATTCGGCAGATGTTCAAAAAAGTTGTGTCTAAAATAACCCGAGAGTTGGGCTTTCTATAGGCCTACAGGTCCTTGTTTGTTTAGAAAATCAATAAAATGTGTTCTATGCCTAAAATAAACATCGCAGAACTTTTATAGGGGGTTTCCATGGAAATAAAGCCAATAGAAGATTTTGTATGTAGAGGTGACCTGTAAAAGGTCTTCAAAGTACAGAAACCCCATTGAAGGTACTTAATATAAATAAGGCTCTATAGAAGGCCCTTTGCATAGAAGACCTAGAAAAGGTCGTTTATGTATAAAAGACCTGTAAAAAGTCTTCTAGGAGTAAATGACCTGTAACAAGTCCTCTATTCCGGTAGGTCCTCAGTAAAGGGACTTTTTTGTATGAAAGACCTATAAAAGGTCTTCTCTCTTCTTCTCTAAATAAGATGTAAAAAAATGCCTATGTAACAAATACATGTGAAAGCCTCACAGCTCCACAGTGTATTGAAGACCTATAGAAAAGCCTCTATCCATCAAAGATGTATAGCTGATATTTTAAAAAAGAAGACCTACAGAAGATAGGCAAATAAATCTCAATTTTTTTCGAGTCACAGGTAGGACAAGTATTATAGCCGGAGAAATGGGGTCTGTTTGTCAAATTGGGACCTTCGAAAATATTTTCTAAAGTTTAAACTCACTCGAATTAGAGCGGGGGCTCAAAGAGGAACTAGCATATTTTCCTCGCTTTTAAGTGGGAGCAAAATTCGTTAAAAATCGAGGAGATTTTACTCTTGTTGAGCAGATTTTTGAAACTTCCTCAAAGGTATTTGTGAATAAGAAAAGCATTTTTTTATTTTTTGTTTTGGCGAAGCACCCGGATATTTGACAAGAAAGTCAGCTATAATTTGGCATATATTTCTTAGACCCGAAATGGGGACTTTTTCCACTTTTATGGATTTTTAAAAAATCCGCATCTAAAAAATCGATATTGATATCGAAATCGATTTTGATATTACTCCCGAATTAAATCTATGTGTGTTTATTATTTTTGTAAAAGATCACCTCGTTTTCCTTCCCTTCCCCTTATCATATCCTTCCCTTCCTCTCTTTACCTCCTACCCCCAACACCCTACCTACCGTTATATGGGGGCTATAGCAATTAGTGGACCTGAATCGAAAATCGTTGGCAAGAGAAAATAGATCCTTCAAGAACCCCAAATGCCAAGTTTCAGTTGATTTGGTTGAAAAATGGTGGCTGAAACCTTCAAAATACCGAAAATCTGGAGGCACAGATATTTGAGCCTATACAAATTAGTTGACATGTTTTGCAAGAAGAGAACATACCTACCGAGAATCCCAATTGCAAAGTTTAATATAATTTGGTTTGAAATTGTGGCAGAAACTTCAAAATACCGAAAATCGGTAAGTACGCATATATGGGGGATATTCCAATTATTGGACCTGTAGTGAATATTCTTTGCGGGGAGAGAACAGACTATTAAGAACTCCAAAAGTCTCAGCTGATTTGGTTGGAAATTGTGGCATAAACCGGAAATTTGGAGGTACCGTTGTATGGAGGCTATACCCAAACGTGAATCAATATAGCCCATTTCAATACCAATCAGCAAAAAAACTTTTGAGCAAAATTTCAAAGCTCTCGATTAAAACATGTGACTCTATCCTGATTTCAACAGACAGAAAGATGGACGGACAGAGAGGCATACATCGATAAATCGCCTTATAATGTTATTCTGATCAAAATATTTATACTTTTTTGGGGTCTCTGACGAATATTTCGAACATTTACCCTCCATTGTTTGCTGGAGGGTATAAAAATCACAATTCTTAGTCAACAGGTCCTTTATAGTATTTTGAATAATCAAACAATTTTTGGTCAGGAGGTCCTTCAGATAACTACTTCGTCCAGAAATGATTCTTTCCATCATATGTGGTCAGAGGATCCTTCAATTAATCCTTAAATTTTTTTTAAAATTTTCCATTAATTTATTCTAAAATTCAAAATTTTTGGTCAGCAGTTCCCTCTATCATTTAATAAATTTGTTTCTTGGCCAGAAAATTTGGATCAAGAATATACAAATATTTCGAGGCGTTGCAACCCCCACCCCCAAGCTATGGTGGAAGGTATAACAAGACATCTAAATGTTTCTCTAATTAAAGAAGACATATGGAAGCTCGACAATTACAGCCTAGAAATGTCCTTACCAAACGCTGACGTAATCGGTTCCTATTTGGATATAGCTCCCATATATATATTTTTGCCCGATTTCAAGTATATTGTGTAGCAATTGTGTAACCAGTTGTAGTAAATTTTATTAATTACAACGATTTTTTGAAGCATATATCTTGTTTGCAATGGGGTGGAGTTATTTAAAATAACAAGTCCTATTGAAGAAACTCCTTTAGATTCTATTCCTTTAATCTTCAATATTTCCATATTAATTCCTTATCTCTTTTCTTCCCTATTTCAAATTTGAATAGCCACCATCATAATTTGTTATACCCGATGACTTTTCACGGCACTGAAAAAAAACGACAACTTTGCATATCTACACTGCCATTCGGTTCAATGGTTTATGTTTATTTCAGTTTTTGTGACTCTCAATACATTGCCTTCCTACTTCTGAGGGTGTCAAGTTATGGTATTACCTCCAATAAAATGAAACAACATTTCTTTCGTTGGAGTTGGAGTTCTTTTTCGTTTGACTTTTTGTCGTTCTACGTTTTGCGAAATATTTGCAAATATGCTGGTTGGTGGTGCGCATTCAATTGCAGTATTGCACACACGCACACTTACAATTGAAGTGGTTAGAGTAGTCCTGCCTTGCTTGCTCCATGTTTCAGCTACGACTTTGTTGTACTCTGTGTTGCTCTCTGTTCCCGTTTCGTTTTCTATAAAAGACGCGTCATTTAAATAACAATAAAAGTTAATGACAAGTTGCTAACTAAACTACGGCAGTTATGCCATAACAGTCGTCGTTGCTGTCTATGTGACGTTTTTTTCGTTTTGTTTGGCCGTCATACGAGTGAGCCTGTGTGTGCAGTATGTGCCTCTGCTTAGTTAACTTTTCATTAGTTTTGCATACATATTACCTGTGTAAGCTGTTACATTTAAATTGATGTGGGGTAACTCGAACTACCTACATCGATGTACAGTTGATAATAGTAAAACAATCATTGTTTTTTGTAGGTGAAATGTTGTGGAAAGTTCTAAGAGCATGGATTAACGCTTTTCAGGTGATACTCCAGATAAATGCGGGATAGGGGAAGAGTTGTTATTTTATCTGTTTTTTTTTTTTATAAAAATAAATGATGTCAAGAGAAGGTCACTTCGAATGCGTAGTAAAGAATTGCCAATTAACAAAATTGAAAGGTTAACTGTTGCTGATAAATTCCCAGTTATATTGAGAGGCACTACCGATCGAAATATTTGTAGAAGATCTGTAGACCAATAACAGCGGATGTTAAAAAATATTATCCTTAATTCAGGCTAATGCAATAAAAACATGAAAAAAAGTATCTTTGTACTGAGGCTATACCAATTAGTAGGCCTTAATTGAACAACTTTCGCAAGGAGAGAACAGACCTATCGAAAACTCCAATTGTCAATTTTCAGCTAATTTGGTTGAAAATTGTTGCAGTAACCCTTATATGGGGGCTATATCAATTAGTGGACTGAATCGAACATCTTTTGTAAGGACAAAATATACATACCGAAAATCCCAGTTTCATCTAATTTGGTTAGAAATGGTGGCAGAAACTTTCAAAAAAAAAAAAAAAAGCTGAAAATATTGAGGTACCTTTATATGGGGCTATACCTATACGTGGATATAGTTCAATACCAATTAGACTGCACATGAAATAATGCTTTGTGCCAAATTTAAAAAATTTCGATTAAATAATGTTGCCTCGAAAAAAGACAAAGGACAAAAATATGTCAAACAAATAAAAAAGCAGTAAGTTTGGCAGGGCCGAACTTTGAATACCCTCCACCATTTCGAAAGAATTTGTAAATTTTCAAACAAACAAAAAAAAAAAACTATTCGTTAAGAATTCTATTAAAATCCAGCAGTACCTAGTATAGCTGTTATATTGGGGTCTGCACGAAGACGTGGCCCTACATCGCCAACTTTTGTCATAAGCCGTTACAATATTCTAATACGATACTTTAAAAAAAACGGTGAATAATGTATCTAAAATCATCAAAATACCGAATATAGAGAGTTACCGTTATATGTGGGCCTTACGAAGACCTGGACCTGCATAGACAATTTTTTGTCACAGACTGAAATACCTATTAATCGTAAATATACTGATTATTCGGATATTCTTATATATGAGACCTATACGAAGTCCAGGACACGCAAAGAAAATTTTCTGTCATAAAAAAAATCAAAATACCGAATATAGAAGAGTTCCGTTATATCGGGTCCTGACCTGCATAGACAATTTTTTGTCACAGGCTGTAGTACCTATTAGGAATTTCAAATACGAAATTTTAAACAATTTCGCTGAATATTGTACCTATAATCCCCAAATAACAAATATAGGAGGTACTGATATATTGAGCTTACATATATGAAGAACTGGACCTACATAGAAAAAATTCTGCAATAGATTAAAGTTACCATTACGAACTCTAAACACGAAGTTTGAAACAACTCCGGCGAATAATGTCGCTACAATCATCAAAATACCGAATATCGGGTGGTACCTTTATATGGGGCCATACGAAGACGTAGTCCTGCACAGACTATTTTCTGTCTTAGGCTGTAGTACTCATTACGAACTTAAAATACCAAATTTGAAACAATTCCGGGGAATGATGTCGGTAAAATTATCAAAAATACAGAATATCGGGAGGTACCATTATGTGGGGGCTATACGAAAACGTGGACCTGTATAGAAAATTTTCCGTCACAGATTGTAGTACCCAATACGAACGTCAAATACGAGATTTCGGTGATTACTCTCGCTAAAATAAAAATACCGATTATAGGGAGATACCGTTATATAGGAAATATATAATATCGTGAACCTATACATATAGTCAATTCCCTTCCAGGGGTTTAAGTACTCAGAAGGAACTCCTTGTGTGAATTTTCGGACAATTTCATTG